GTGATTAAACGCTTGCGTGATGCGGGAGTAGTGGTCCACCCGGAGAAGAGCAAGTTCTGCATGACGGAAGTCGAGTATCTGGGGTACAAGATTACACGAGAGGGGAAGGAGCCGATTCGAAAGAAGATCGATGGGATATTGAACCTCGCTCGTCCGCGAAATATCCGAGACTTACGCAGATTTATCGGCATGGTAAATTATTACAAGGACATGTGGAGGGGGCGATCGGAGCTGTTAGCTCCACTGACGGCGCTCACTTCACGCAAGGTTCCCTTTCGGTGGGGACCGAAAGAGCAACGAGCGTTTGAAGAGGTCAAGGTGCGCATAGCCGAAAACGTGCAGCTACAATACCCCGACTACAACGTACCGTTTGAACTGTACACCGATGCGTCGGCGCATCAATTGGGAGGAGTAGTCATGCAGCGCGGCAAACCACTGGCCTTCTGGTCACGCAAGTGCAACCAAGCGCAAGAGAAGTATACCACCAACAAGAAGGAACTGCTGAGTGTTCTCGAAATGCTACGCGAGTTCAGATCGTTACTGTGGGGACGCGAAGTCACGGTCTTCACGGACCACAAGAACTCCCTCGAAGCTACCTTTAGGAACGCTGAAATGATGCGCTGGCGGCTCGAGATCGAAGAGTTCGGGGTGACGCTGCAGTACGTGCCAGGCAGGGACAATGTTGTCGCCGACGCCTTATCACGACTGCCGTTGCACGACGCGCCCGGAGCGGCAGCTGTTACGACAGCGCAAAAGGAATCCCTATTTTCCCTCTCGCTAAACGAAATCGCGGAAGCGCAGCGACTCGTTGGCCTTCAAGAAGGTCCAGCAGTCGTGAGGCGTGCGATTGGCAGCACCAAGGTGTTTGTCAGTAGAGATTCTGGGAAGATCCTGTTACCCGGTGCCCTGGTGGGCAAGGTGTTGCAGACTTACCACCAATGGTTGATGCACCCGGGGGAACGTATAATGACGGAGTCCATCAAAGCCACCTTATTCTGGCCCGGACTTACCGCCGACGTGGCCAATTGGGTTCGCAACTGCAAGCAGTGCGCCCGAACTAAGGTCAGCAAGGCCAAGTACGGAAAAATACCCCCAAAGGAAGTTGAGGTGCGACCTTGGGCAGAAATAGCGGTGGATAGCATTGGACCATTTGGGCCGTCGAAGTGGCGGGCCATGACGATTATGGACACGAGTACCAGATTGCTCGAGATTGCGGCCATGACGGATGGAACCAGCGCTGAAGCAGCTCGCATCGTAGATCAGTGGTGGCTCAACCGATACCCCAGGCCCGAACGGTGCATTTATGACCAAGGGCCAGAGTTTCGGGCTGAATTTACCGAGCTTCTCGATAGCTACGGAGTGCAGCGAGCTGGAACCACGGCCAAGAATCCTCAAGCAAACGGGGTCCTCGAACGAGTGCACCGAACCATCAACGACAAGCTACGAACTGAAGAAATCACTACCTTCGGGGAATGGGAGAACTGCTTATCAGCAGTTATGTTCGCCTTGCGGGCTCAATTCCACATAGCGACGTCATTATCTCCCGCGCAGGCCGCCTTCGGACGGGACATGCTGTTCGACGATGGTAAGGCCGTAGATTGGAAGGCGCAGCAGAGCAAGAAGGAGGCTCAGGTCCGCCGACACAACGAGCGCGAGAACAGTGCACGCACCGCGCATGAGTACGCCCCTGAAGACATGGTGATGGTGGCGCGACACGATGCACGTCCCCCGAAGTTCCAACAGGCATTCGAAGGGCCATTTCGCGTGGTCAGTGTCCGCAGCAATGGGACCCTCGTTATTGACCGAGAGCGCTTCCTAGAGAGCATCCACATGCGCCGCATCAAGCCTTTCAACGCACCAGCCATGGGGGAAGATGTAATGCCATGATGTATTGATGGGATTGATGGATGGCTGTGCCCTGAAATAGCTGATACGACCCGCTTCTCTGACGGAAAGCTAGAGAATCGTGCTCCTTGCCGGAGTCTTAATAAAGCTCACTTTTTGAACTTACCTTCAACAACACAAACACATCGCAGGCTCTCTTCTTCGAAACCCGCACAAGTCTCCGCTCCGGTCACGTTATTCTCTTGCTCCAAGCCAGCAATGTGTGTCGCTTCGGTCCTGCTTTCAGGCCCCTCATCAACGCCAGCAACGTCATTCGCCTTGTCATCACTTCAAGAGCACACTGTGAGGGGGATTCCAATACAATAGTTGGATGAACCTGCTTCCCGTTTGACGTTATCTCCCTTTCAGGAGGCACCACTTGTTCAGCGTCGGTATCCGGGTCATCTTCCTCGATCACATTAGTGTCTTGCTCCGACCCGGTCGTGTCAGTTTTTTCAGATTGATCCTTCGCTTCATCTTTTGCTTTTGATCGTGTCTGGTAGTCTTCATTGGACTCGGTGGATTTACGCGAATCATTGGTACATTTCGATAAGCGTCTCAAGCTTCGTCGTACCTTTCTCCCAGTTTCAGCTTGGAGAGATTCTTGACGCTTTGAACTAGCAGAACGATCACGCCCCGACTTCGTTGTCTCCCGGTCATTCCCCTGATCATCCCCAACACCGTTCACCGGTCGACGAACACAACGACCACTCCGCGATTTCGTTGTCTTCCGATCATTTCTCTGATCATCTTCAACACCATTCACCTGTCGATGAACACAAGTCATTCGTCGCGACGTGCGTCGACCAACATTCTGTTGCATTGGCGAAGTTCGGGTGCTCGTTCTCTTCTTCTCTTTGTCACTTTTCTTCGTCGCCATTTCCTCGTGGTTTCCATCTTTACCCCGTCCCAAATCCGAAGCCGACGATCGTTTCGCTCTTTTCGACGGAGGCAGTCTTGGTGGTGAATGGCTCGTCGTCGACAGTCTTTTCCTCGTCCACTGCCTCGATTCCGTTCCAACTGTAGTAGTCGCCTCGGACTCCTCGTCGGAAGCCTCCATTCCACGTGTACCACTCGGCGGTGAAATCACCGGTTGCTCACTCTCACCTGCTATTAAATGATCCGTCTTGATGCTAACATGCTCTTTTCCGTTGTTCGCCTTGCCTCTACGGATGCGCAGATCTTTCGTCATGGCGAAGCGCACCGCCGACCCCGGGGCGCCATAGTGGCATGCGAAGATGAGGCGGTCCATCTGCTCTAAAAACCCGGGTGTCGTGTCCATATTCTTCTCGATGAACTTGGTCAGTCGGCTGCAGCAGTCGTAAAACAGTTCGTAGTCGTCCATAGCAGGTGCGGTGGGCGGACCGTTAAACGTTAGCTGTGCCAGTTCATCCGAGAAGGCCACCCAAACAGCGTCCACGGTCTCCGTCACAGTTCTGCGCACCGTACGGTTGAGCTGCAGTCGCAGTCTGTCCACTACGGGCGACGTCTCCTTGGGCTACGGCACGTGGTGGTGCACAAACCATGGCATCGCGTTCCCGAACTGAATCAAACCTCGTGTTTTCGTTTCTGCTCAACGATTGGTGGAATTTGTTGTAAGTTGA